TATTAACCCCCATAATTAAGTTTAGCACAGAAGAAATCAGGATTGGAAGTGGAAATTAGGATTCCCAAGCAAATCTGCTCTTTACCTGGCTATAATAAAGTGTTAGATGTGACGTAATTGCAAAGGGAGAGGGTAAAAGGTATATAAACTATTAACCCAAATAGTAATTTGAAATTAGCGACATTAGAGAAAATAATGTTAATGATGCCTGTTTGCATGTGCCACTTTGTCCTTTGCCTTTTCCTGTCTCTACCTTTAATTCACCTATAGGTAAATCTTCTATTAGAATACTGCATAAAGTCCTGGAAATTAAACTGTCAGGAATTAGTAATGTCCTAGTATTTGAATGGGATTTCATTAACTGTGTAAAGTCTTTTGTATCTTTATTTTTCTCAAATGGATTGGCAATTTGTTTACATTTTTTTCATTAATGTATACTAAAATCTCTAACACCTATTTACCATCTAATATTTTTTTTATTTAGAAAACCTCTTTTATGACCTATTTAAAATTTAAGAATAAATTTTAGTGTAAGACACACATTTAAATGTCAAAAGATCTCTTGTGTTTTATTTAGATCACTACTACATGGTTATAGGAAAAGTGGGGATAATTCATTGAAATTATTTAAAATATTATTAAGGAAAAGCCTAAGTTAGAAAACCTAGTGAAAGTTACTTTATGCTGTGCAGAGAGTAAAAAATACCATTCCAACAATATCCCTTGTTGCTCATCCAAGGGAGAAGTCCTTTTACAAGTCAGTTATTTTTCTAAATAGTAAAGAAAGTACCTTTAAGCAATGGAAAATAAGTAACTATAATAATGGTGTTCTGAGGGCTGAGCACATTTTGTTTAAATTTAGACAACAGATCATTAAAAAGGCTTTTGTGTGAGGAAAGTTGACAGCTAGCTTTTCTAAGCATTTTTCATAATATTTTTGTCTTAAGGATGTATTTGTAAATATCAAGAAAAAGAATGTTTTGTCATGTCTCTTACTGTCATACAGCTGTCTGTGCTTAAACCATGGATTTGAAATAGACTGAAAAGTGGAAACATGTAAATTCAAAAATGTAATTAATGCCAAAAAGGAAAAAATCTGACATATGACATGTTCAGTATTTTATAGTCTTTAATTGCTCACCTGTCATTTACATATACACATTTAAAGGATGTTAGGTAGAAGGAATGAAAAAGTGTATTGTTCAGATAGAGGATATGTTGTCTTACAGTTCTGGATAAAAGCAATGGCTGCAAATCCAGAAAGGCTTGCAAGTTTTGTTTGTTTTCTCTCTTTCTGCTTTATCATACTTTCCTGCTGATTCTTACATACTGAGTGTTTGAAAATACTACACGCAGAATGTGTGGCATCATACTTATATTTTTCTATTGCAAGTATTACAGAAAGCTGTACTGATTACACATTGCTTTGAGCAAACAAAGAATATTGAAGCAGAGATTGTAGCTACGTGCTTTGGAGTTAGTCCTGTGAGTTACAACTTACAGTTTCTCCTTTGGAAAACATTAATTGGTAAGGAATCAGAAGAGATCAGAAAGAAATGGCTTCCTTCTGTGGTCTTCCTTCTATGGTAGATTAGTTGGTGATGAATCCCATCATATAGCACAGTTGTTAAGCAGTGCGTGCTATATTTTTTTAAAAAACCTGTTTTGCAGGCAGTTGGTTGTGCTAATTAAAAATGTAGGTGTGACAGATAAATTCCTCTTAGTAGCTAATGCAGGTGCACTTGTTTGCAGTTAAATCTGAAGTTGTTCTGCAGAATTCACTCAGTGCCCTTACATTTGTCTCTCCATTCCCCTAATAACAGACTTAGCTGTGGCAGTAGCTTACTTCACTTAGAGTAGACAAGCTGCTCTTACAGCCGTTTAGTAAGTCCTCAAAGCAAAAATGAGTTTCCATCCCCTCAGCAGAATCTGAACTCTTTGCCCTTTTCCTCTTATTTTGAAGGTATGTATTGTTAATGATTGCTGTGTTTACTTCCCCTGATTTCTTTTGCCTTTCTCACTAAGGTATGTTTATTATTATTTGTTTTGCTTAGTTGCTTTAAGATGCTTATAAATGGGCATGTATCACTGAATAACCAGGTGCAGGAACAATAGTTGTTACCAGTCTGGATTATGACTTTGGAGGTCCAGATGACCCATCATTTGAAATTAATCAGTTGTGCATTCGTAAATTTCGTCTTGTCCGCAATTGTAAATGTTACGGGATTTTTGGAGATGGAGATTACCAGGACTGAATAGATGTTTGCTCATACCAAGCTATTTTCAATTTTTGGATCAGTGCCAATTTTCCAAAAGGCTTTAACATCAGCATTAGCTGTGAATCTGGAAAAAAAAACAACAAACAACTTAGCAGAGTTCTATTTGTATTAATAGTAATCCAAGCTGATAATAGATGCAGACAGCCAAAGCCTCTTAGGCTGAACACAGTAATACTGATACTGTAGCGAAACCTTGTTAGCCATTGAATGCATAGTTAAGAGAAATTCTATTCTAGTTGAAAAACATTTGTGAGATGTGTTAATGAACAGAACACCTTGTCATTAAGAAGTAGGGGTTATTCTGGTCCTGTATCCAAAAGAAGAAAAACTCATCTGTCTGAGAAGATAGCTGTAAATAAAAGCCAAAACTCAACTGTGGCCCTCTCTCTTTCCTTCCTGTCCTGTCTTCAGAGGGGCTACCAAGTTACCTCAGGTGCTGTGAAGTTTCACTTCATGTGAAGAGGTAAATCAGTTCAGTCTCAAATGAAAGTCCATTTTGAATGAGCCCAGCTGCTTGGCAGCAGTTTTGGGAGAGGGAAGCTGTGAGGGGAATTTGGTTTCTTAAGTTCTGTCACTAGCACTTGATAAGCAGCTAAATTCAGAGAGATGTTTCCTCCCATTTCCTCCAGACCTAGTTCACAGCTTTTAAAATGTGGCTCTAGATGTAGGGAGGAAGGGAGGAAGGGACAAGAGACAAGAGCAGGGAGGAGGTAGAGGAATTTCCTTTGAATTCATATGCAGATAAAATCCTTAGGATGTTTTAAAGGTGTGGAAGCCTACAGTCTTTTCTTATAGATATTTTAAGGAGTTCCTGCTTAGGTGCTTTCACTTAGTTCATTAATGTAATGGATTGTATTTTTGAGGTGAACACACTCTGATGAGCATCTTTCAGGTCTTGATAACATGCAATTATAACAATTAAAAAGAAATAAACACCTTAGTTCCCAATCTGGGAATTCCTCTAAAAATCCCAAATACAGTATTTTAGGGAGCAGTACAAATGTATTAATGAATAAACAATGTGAAGAAACACAGCAAAAAGCCATATATAAGACATGATTTTGTTAGGTTACTTCTACACCCAAAACTTGTTTAAGGTTCTTTTTGTAAAATTTTAGCATAGATAGCTAGAAATCAGTGGCAGCTTTGACTAGCTTGCTACTGTTGTTCAAAAAATCATTGTCAATCATTGCTTTCAAACATAACAATATTATCTTGTACTCTCAGGTTGATAGCTTTGAGTTGACCAGAGGATAAGTCCTAGAGCTGAGATATTTTTGCAGTTATGAATGGAGTTATAGCATCTCCTGAAAACCCAGTTACAAACTCACTGACATGTCATGGAAATAATATCTCCGTTTAGTTAGTCCTTTTTACTCTGAAAGTTGTGTGTGATTTACAGTGCTCAGAAAAGGTAGTATTTGTTCTGGCAAGAGTTGGACAAAAAGTCTGCCAAAGCAAGTGGAATATACGGTAGCTGTGCAGTCAGGTCCTGCCCTAAAGAGTGTGGCTTGTGTTTTGTAAAGCTTTCCTGCCACCTGTAGCAGGTGAGGCGGAATATGCTAGAAAGGCCCTGCACTGATGGCAGGAACAATCGATGAACCCAGTATGGTTTTAGTGATAGGTAGTGTTTCCAGATGACACTGAAGTTGCAGCCTAATAATTAAACCACAGCCTTAGTGTTTCTGTATGGCTGTGACAACAGGGACTAGCTTTTGGTTTCAATCAAACACTAGTGTAAGCTGACAGGTACATTATGTCCATGCCTGATTGAATGAACAGTGAAGGGAAATATTAAGCTGCCAGGAAAAGGAGATAGGACCATGAGAAATATTTTTATTATTGTCTTTTAGACCTCATGAGTGATTTTGGAACAGAATGAACTATGACTGTGCATAGAAAACACTAATACTTCTGGAGTTAAAATTGAAGTGATTCTCAGATACAAAACAAGCTTTTTTGTTGTACAGTGCAAAAGTGAGGTGAAAGTACTATTCCTGGTAGCTTTAAAAGTTTTATTTTGGGGGTGATCTAATTTTTTAATTCTAGAACTTAGTGACTCATTAAATTAATGTTCAGAAAAGTAAATATTAATTTAATTTACTGTTCATTCACTCTGCACAGCATTTTGATTTTCCTGCACTTGAATAATTTTTACATTTGATATTTACCTGTAGAGACTATAGAAGCTGATATATTCCTAGTGGTGGTGTTTGCATTGTAATACTCATGTAGTTAACATTTTTTTAACTTAATAGCTCCTGCTTTTCAAAATACTATATCTGTTCATAGTTGCATTTTACAGAATGTTCCTGTGGTTATCTCAGTGGGCTACTCCAAGTCTGGAAAAGGTGCTTGTGAAAAGTATTGCAAGAGTTACACATTACCTACACACATTACTTCTGAATGCCCCATGAATTAATTATAATATCTGAATTAATTTTGGCTGTATCAGTGCTCTAAAGTTTGTTGACATTCCGTGGTATGTGTTATCATAGTAAAACTACACAGTATAGTTTCATATCATGTTTGTAAAATTCATTTAACAGAGTAACTGAGTAAATTTGTGCATATAATCTCACAGCTGTTTAAAATTAGGATCGCATATGAGTAATATGTAACCTACTGGATGCTCTGCTTTCATTAGTTGCTTTCATAATGACTTTAACATTTAGAAATATAAATAAATGTTCTTTCATTGTGTTTTCTTTTCTTCAACAGGACACCACAAGTATAGAAAAAATGTCAAACTGTTGTGAAGACATGTAAGTGCTGTAAAATTTCTATATTTCTTTGCTGAAAAACTAAAGGAATAGCTGCTTTGTTTTTTGGGGGTTTTTTTGTAACTGTGTGAGAAAGAAAAGGCACGGAAGGCACTTTGTTAAAATTATTTTGCATGGTTCTGTGCCCTGTGCTTCCTATCCCTAGCAGCAGTTCACTTTCTTTTAATAACGGTTGTACACGAAGTAGCCTCACATTATCCCTGTACCTTCCCTACCCCAAGCCAGTGGAACTGTATTATCTTTCAAAAGTACAGATCAAAAGACACTTTCTGCTGTGTTTTGATATACATGTCATTGATTCTGAGAGTCTCCTCTGCTTCAAACGTTGCCTTTGGTTGATTGATGACACAGATAGTTTATGTTCTCCAAAGTTAAGTCACAGCTGCATGCTGTAATGAAAGAAAAGCTGTATTTGTGATGCTGGGACACAATTAATCAGAATCCAGTAATGGATCCCTAGCCAACCTGCATTGTTCAAGCTGACTGAAGTGCACTGTGGGCGTGCTGTCTTTCACTAGTAATGCTCTCTTCTGTAGATCGAGGCCCCGAAAGCCATGGCAGCAGACCTTCTCAGAAGTTTTTGGCACTCACTGGAAGATCCTGTGGTTTATTCCTTTCAGGCAGAGGCAACCACTACGAGTTCCCTACCACTTTGCCAGTCATGTCTAAACAGATGGATGCTGGGCACAGATGGGTCCTCCATGCTGGAAGTGCGCTACAGGTTTTATGATAATAGGACTATGACAGTCTTCAAGTCAATTAAAATTCACCCACCAATTGTAGGCATCACAGTGTGCCCCAGGCTTTATTTTCAAAGTGGACTTGATTCTGTTCTGAGATTAATGCAAGTTGTATGTTTTACTTTAGACATATTTACTTTAAAATTAGCTTTCCAAGGGGATTTCTCTCATCTTTGAGGTTAATACCAAGACCAAGTGACTGGAATGCATTCTTACTCTTATTTGTTTGGTACTGTCTCTTTTGGTTTTTACTTTTTTTGGTAGGAAGCACTGAAGTTTACATTAATTTTTATCTTTCTCACCAAGTGTCTTATTCTGCCTTGAAATTTTTTTGGTGTTTTTATCAGTGGATCTAGATGATATTCATGTCTTTTTCTGCTACAGATGTTTAAAATTCCCTGATACTCCTTTTTATGATGTGCAATAGTAATCTTGCAGCACCACACTATAAAAGGTAACATCTAAAACTGACACAGACTTCTTCTGAAACCTTTTCCAAAGAGGTTTTTATGAATAAGCATAAATGTTTGTGTTAATAGAATCTTGCAGTTACCTGTCTGCATAGATATGATCTTAGAAAAAAAATTAGTGTCTTTGTGTCAGCAAAAGGCAGGAGGTGTTCGAGGCTAACACATGCAGATAGAATGCATGTTTTCTCTATATTCCAAGGATTTATTTGCAATAATTCAACCAAGAAGTTGTGTGGTGCAAAAATTAGAATGATTACTTTTTAAAAATGCAGATTTAATTAGTTAGCAGAATGTACCATAAAGAAGAGTATATTGTCAATAAAGTTATACGTTTTACATTTATTTTTGTTTAGTCATGATTAGCTGGAATTGGTCTAAGTGTCTGTATATTGGATATATATGTGAAAAAATTAAAAAATATTTATACATAAATACTGATTTTGCTACGAACATGTATAGTGAACTATGTTAATTGATTTAATAGGGTATTATGTTGATGGCTTGTTGCTGGCCCTTTTAAGTAGAGAAGTAATTAACCAAAGAAAGCATCTTTATGATTTCATCTGGTAAAATTACAGTTCCCGAATTACTGGCTCAGTTTTGCTGTATCTGGAAAAATTATGTGCTTTATTATAGTCCTTTGTATTTATACAAATATCGGGTTATTTTTTTTTAAAGTTCCGTGAGATTTTTCTGAGAAACCTCATGAATCTCATAAAAATTCACAGCTTCATTGTTTTCAGTTACGCTGCTCACACTGTTGTCTAACTGAACAGCACTAGGATCCACCTTAAACAGCAGTCATGCAACAGGATAATAAAAGGCACAAAATCACAACGTAATATGCATAGATTCTGTTTGGAGAACGTGATTGTGAACAGTTCATTCAAAAAGAAGGGCTAGATTTGTCATGAGTGGTATTCATAATGAAATGTTAGATGAGCTCCTTTAAAATCTTAACACCATCACTGCTGATGTTGGGTGTCCATTTATTGAATGAACAGATTTTGATGATCCATTGACAGATCCAGAAGGTACCTGTTAGAAAGTACTTGAATTTTAAACTTTTGTGAACTTCTAACATTTAAGCCAACTTCACTTTCCCTCTCCTTTTAAAAATAAATGCAGTATTTTCTTCATTTAAATTTCAAGCCTGTAACTTCAACCCTTTTTTTTTCATGGCATTATTAGGCACAACATTAGAGTGCCTTAAAGGTGATGTTGGAAATTAAAAAGAATGTGCATTTACATTGTTAAGTAATGGCTATATTCTCTCTCTCTCTTTTTTTTTTCTTTCTTTTTTTCTTTTTAAAAGGAATTCCACAGAAACAGATAAGGGAATAATAGCAGTTTTGTTTTATGTGCCAATATTTATATGGGGATATAGCAAGAGGGTGAGGGATAATGGCTTTAACTGGAAGAGAGCAGATTTAGTTTAGACATTAGGAAGAAATTCTTCGCTGTGAAGGTGATGAGACACGGGAACAGGTTGCTCAAGGAAGTATTGATGCCCCCTTCCTGGAAGTGTTCAAGGCCAGGTTGGATGGGGCCCTGAGCAACCTGGTCCAGTGGGAGGTGTCCCTGCCCATGGCAGGTAGGTTGGAACTAGGTGGTCTTTAAGGTCTCTTCCAACCCTAACCATCCTGTTTCGATTATTAAATCTGTTTTATTACTAGAATATAATAGATCTTTTAAAGGTTTTCATCCTAATCAGTTATCATAGTTAGATCATACAGTTCTGAAGCCTCCTGAGAAAGGGAATCAAGAATTTAACTATTTTTGATACATAAACTGTGGGGGCATGTAGTTGTTTTGTTTTCTAATATTGTTTTCATTAATTTAACCATTAACAGAGAATCACATCTGTAACACAGGCTCCGCTTGACAGGAGGAACCTTAATGAGCGTATTGAGTTTGTGTACCTGTTACACAGTGAAGTGACGGGGGCCCCTAAATTTTGCCTGCGCTGCGGGGATAAAACTGCGCTGCCCCGCACCCTGCGCGCCCTCTGCCGGCCGCCCTGCCTGCGAGGTTCGTCTGCAAGGTCTCCAGAGCCCTTAGTCTTCCCCTTCAAACAACAAATTCTAAACTAAAAATGAAAAATCTGTGAATTCTAAGGCGCTTGAGCTGAAGTGACAAAAGGAAGAGCCTTGAAGCTGAAGTGTCAGGTATACATTCAAGTAAATACCTAAAAATCTTGCCTAATACTCCACTGGAAATAGTAAGTTCACAAGTTTCTCGTGTTTCCATATGGTTGGATTTTTGTGGTAAATATTTTTTTTTGCCATCTCCCATTCATCATTAACATTAGGAATCAATATGTAATGTGATTAAAGTAGTTACTTTGTTTTTACCCCATTTCTGAGTATGTGGAGTAGAGAAGGGAAAATCTGGAAAGGCTTTATTTTTAGTAGGCACTGGGCTTTATTCTTTGAATGCCACGCCTCTAAAAGTGTAAAAGTAATCAAAAGATATTTTTAAATTTTACCCAATGACCCTATCATGTTATTAGTTTGCTAGGGCAGTGTTTCTGAAACTGATTTTCAGAAAGTTGTTTCAGCAGG